TGTTAGGATATACCCAGGAATCTCAGGAATCCTGGACCTGTTTAAGGGAAACACATATATTTGAGCTTAAGATGATTTTATCCTATTTGAACAGACTAGTGAAAAGGGAGAAGAACCAAGTAATCCAGGCACTGCTGCCATAGATAGGTGTCCAGGTTGTACACTGCACAAGGGTACTGCGCCACAGGGTCATCAGAAGGATGGCATTCATGGACATAAACTTACTTATGGGCAACTAAAATGATTTGGGGCTTCCTGGCAGAGCCCCAAACAAAAGTGGGAATCTCTCCTCTAGACAAATCTGCCACATCAGGTCTTGTACACGTTCAAAAGGGCACACGCACACACATACCATCACTGGCACACATTGGCAGGTGCTCATTTGTGCCCGGCCCTGTTACCAATGATCCTGGCATCATCAGAGGTCACTCCTCCTGTCTGTCCATTATTCTTGGAGGCCCAATCTCTGTATAAGTGAAAGGAATCCCAGCAAAGAGATTCCTCACTAACCCAACTCTCCAGTGGACCCTGCAGCCTCCTGGGGGATGTGGTTGGTGGGTGGAGTGTGCCAGCTGTTAGCAGCCTGTGTGCCTGGAATCTGAAGCATGAGAGCATGCACAAGTGTGGGTGCTTAGGTGTCAGCAGGCAGGGCTGCAGTCTGCAGATTTCTCGAAAGCTCTGCTGGGAAGAACTGGAAGCAAACTAGGAGATTTGTCATGCAGCAGCAGCGGCAGCTTCTCACATGCTCTGACTGCTGCTTTTGGAAGTCTGAATCACTGAAACACCATTCCAGTGAACTTAAGCTGGGCACTGCTTATCACGCTTCAGAGCGAGCACTTCCCATCAAAGCCAGATGTGAATATTGCCCAAGTTGTGCAATAATGTCTCCTTTTGGGAGGGGGAGCCTCCCTCCAGTTCACACAAACTCAGCATATGGGCCAGTGGCAAGCCTGCGTTGTGTCAGGAGTCTTACTTCAGTATCTCATTAACTCCTCATCAAAAAGTTCTGAGTTCCACAAACAAATTGCGTGACAAAAAAGGAAGAAAGAAAAGGAGAACTGATAGATTAAAGAGGGGCATAGACATATCAACTAACTGAAATAGAGGGATGGGGCAGCGCCTGTGGCTCAAAGGAGTAGAGCGCAGGCCCCATATGCTGGAGGTGGCGGGTTCAAACCCAGCCCCAGCCAAAAACAGCAAAAAGAAAAATGAAATAGAGGGAACTTACTTATATTTGTATGGAAGCAAACAATTCAGAAAATGTGACACTATTAAGAAATAATTGTTGGCTCAGTGCCTGTGGCTCAAGTGGCTAAGGCGCCAGCCACATACACCTAAGGTGGCGGGTTCGAATCCCCAGCCCGGGCCCGCCACAACACAATGATGGCTGCAACCCAAAAATGGCCAGGTGTTGTGGCGGGCGCCTGTAGTCCCAGCTACGGGAGTCTGAGGCAGGAGAATCACTTGAGCCCAGGAGTTGGAGGTTGCTGTGACCTGTGATGCCACGGCACTCTACCCAGGGGGACAGCTTGAGGCTCCATCTCAAAAAATAAATAAATAAAAATAAATAATTGTTAATTTATTTCTTCTTTGTTATTTATGATAATGGTACTGTCAGGGGCAGCCTTCAAGGTAGCTCCTGGTGGTCATGCCCTCTGTAGTCCCCCTTCCAAACTGAATCAAGGTCAGACTTTGTAATCCATAAATTATGGTGTGTGACTTCAGAGCTAGGTCAGAAAGGGTGTACAACATGCACCCTTGTCTCTTGCACTGCTCCCTAGGGAGTCAGCTACCATGTCATGGGGACTCTCTAGCAGACTGTGGAAAGGTCCAGGTAGGAAGGAACCAGCTTGCCAGCACCAGCTTACCAGACATATGAGAGTCACCTTGGGAATGGATCCTCTGGCCACAGTCAAGCCTTCAAGGGACTAGAAACTCAGCAACCTCATGAGATACCCTGAATATGAACCATTCACTCAATCAAGTTGCCTCCCAATTCCCAGCTTGTAGAAGCCACAAGAGATAATAAAGGATTACTGTTTTGAGCCTCTAAGTTTGGGGTAATTTGTTACACAGTAATGGATAACTAACACAGACACTGTGGTTAAATTATTTAAAAGCAGTCCTTATCTCTGACAATGCTGAAATTGTCTGGGCTTGATTAATAACTAAAAACTTCCCTAATTTTTGGCTCTACTTCCAACTTAGGACCAACGAGAGAAAGCCAAGTATGCACCCCCAGCCAATGACATGGGGTGCCCCTCTCCAGTTAGCCAGACTACAGCTTCCCCATGCCAACACTCTCCCATAGGAACACACATGAAGCTTTCCCTTTTTAATTTTCACTGTTAAAACAAAATAAGACTTAGTTGGGCAGCCATTAGGCTAAGAGGGCTCCAGCCCCTGGGGACCCTACAGAAGCAAACAGAAACCCAACTCAATGGTAACCAATCAGAAACCACCAAGGCAACCCTTCCACTAGGGACTTCCCATTTGAACCAATCGAATATACAGGGTGGACATTAAGTTCACGTGCAATTTAAATAGTAAGCTATTTATCTTCCTTCCACAAACACCTTATAAACGTTTTTCCTTTTGCCCTCTCAGTGGAACGTGCCCAACAGCTTGCCATCTGGAGCTGCCCGATTCATGAACTGCTGAATGCTCAGATAAAATCGTTCCAATTTTAATGAGGCTCAGTTTACATTTTTATCCCACTTTAAAGTTTTTCTACTCTTCTGCCTGCCTTTGAGTCCCCACCAAGATGCAAGCAACTGAGGCAATATAGCACCCTCACTATAGCAAGTTCAGAATAGTCTTTGTGTTCATTAGGTTAGTCCCCAATTATTTCCACAGTTGACTTAAAAAAAAAAAAAAAAGCAAAAAAAACCCTAAAACGAAACAGTTGCTTAACAGGCACCTTTGCTCCAGCTTATTTGTATGGAAGAGGAAGAAGTTGTGTCTGGGAGGTCTTTTTACTTTATGTCTTTAAAATAAAAGCCCACAGTTCCCCTTGACTGCTTAACTGAAAGAGAACCAGGCAGAAGGGGCTCTCTAAACCTGAAACCAGAATGGACTTCTAGCCAAGCTCCTCAGCAAGCCCGTTGGTTCATTTGTTTTGAGTTTACTATAAAAGACATTTTCACTGTAAAGATTTCTTCCATGGTGGTGAAACACCTTATCTCAGGAGATCCCCATTTGACAAAAACAAAACAAAAAGCAGAACACAAAAAGCCAGCAGTGGACTCTCTAAGCAGTGGCAATCAAAAAGAAAAGGAACACAAAAAAGAAAGAAAGAGAAGGAGGAAGAGAAGTAGGAAGAAGAGAAGGAAGCAAGACAAAAAAAAAAAAGTACAAGCAGTTCTGAAACTGAAGGGCTGCAGCCCGCCTAATGACACCCAATGATTAAAGAAAGACAGCTGTTTTGTTTTGAGGGAAGTGGTCGCTCTAAATCAAGTTTCTAAAAAAAAAAAAAAAAGGACAAGGGGTAAGTGTTGCTATGACAACTAGAAATTATTGGTAAACTAAGAAGCTTGGTGTGAAGATCACTGGGAGACTGAGACCTGAACCACTTCCTCTCCCTTCTCCCTCTGGGCAGATTTTCAGGGCAGGACAGTGTGGGAGGCACAGCAGAAGCCATGGACTGAACCCAGGGCCTCATCCTGGGGGCACATTCTAACTAAAACAAATCAATGGAGGGGAAAACATTCTAGAATTCTTGCTTCTTCCTAGACTGACAAGAAGAGAAGCCAGGGCCCTTTGCTGAAAAGAAATGTTAACAAGGTAGATTTTGTTATCAGGGTCTAAGATTAGGTTTAGAATAAACTTTCAGGACTGGCTCAGAGTTAAATTCACTTTCAGAGACACTCTCTCTCATGTTGTTTAATTGAAATCTCCACTTTGCTGCTCTTGTCAAGTTAATATATTGCCTGGGGAGTGGGAATCTGCAGCTGCAGATGTGAACACACTGAGCCAGACACTCCACCTTGAACTTCTGGAGCCATACTCCAGAAACGCTCAGACATAGTGACTGGCACTCTACCCTACTGGCATTCTACTCCAGAATTCTGATTCGAGATCAGCAATAGTATCCAAGGTGAAAAAACAGCAGCCCTCAAGTGTACAAACTATGGTTTATACTCATCTGTCTTGTCTGAGAATAGGTGGCAAGAAGCTCGGGATCTCCGGTAAGGCAGGGCTGAGCTTAAGTCCTGGCTCTTCTCCTTGTTAATCAAGGAGTTGCAGACAAATTACTTAACTTCTCTGTGCCTCAGTTTTTTCTTCTGCAAAATGGTGATGGTACTAATGGTAGTACCTACCTCACAGATTTTCAGGATCTAAAGAGATAATGCTTGCGAAGTGCTTAGTGCATGGAAGGTGTTTAACAGGTAATAGATGCCCAGCATCTGTTTTTGCCTTGTACCCACTACTCCTATTAGAATGAAACACCAGGGGAAATGATTAGGATTCTTCCTCTAACATTAAGGGAATAGTTTGCGAAATTGGCAAATGTGGCTGGGCGCCTATGGCTCAAGCGGCTAAGGCACCAGCCACATACACCTGAGCTGGCGGATTCGAATCCAGCCTGGGCCCACCAAACAACAATGATGGCTGCAACCAAAAAATGGCCAAGTGTTGTGGCGGGCGCCTGTAGTCCCAGCTACTTGGGAGGCAGAGGCAGGAGGCTTGCTTGAGCCCAGGAGTTGGAGGTTGCTATGAACTGTGAGGCCACAGCACTCTACCCAGGGTGACAGCTTGAGGCTCTGTCTCCAAAAAAAAAAAAAAGAAAGAAAGAAAGAAAGAAAGAAAGAAAGAAAGTGGCAAATGCTCTGATCAGCCCAGGAATAAGAAGCAGGGTGTTCTGGGGCAAGGGGTAAAAAGCTGAGCAGGCCACATGACTCCGGGCAGCATATGAGCAGGTTGAGTGACTGTCAAGAACACCCAGTTGGGTCTTCAGGCCCCAAGGGACCCTAGGAAAGAGCCACACAACAGTTAGCTATCATCTTTTATTTACTCAAGTACATTCACAGGTAAGTTCAGCAGTTTAAGTCTCCCTTAAACCCAGTTTACTCCTTCTGTTCACACCATCTCCTAGGCATCTTGTGAGAGCAAGTTCTTTGCTATGTTTCACACTGGCGTGGAACTGAGTCACTATCACATATGTGTCCAAACCAACTAGAGTCTTTTGTTGGTAAGTGAATGAAGCACCCCTCAGACTCTACGATTTCTTTTTCTGTTTAGGAAGGAGGGACACAAATAAGCAATAGTATAGTAATACATCACCCTCAAGTTAGACCTCCAGAAAACTGAGTTAAAGAAGAAGATCAAGAAAAAACAACTGAAGAAGGTAATAGAGGAGGAATGATAAGAGGCAACCAGCCAAATGTTCTCCACCTCAGCAGAAGGAATCAAGGATGCAAAATGCCCTTGGCCCAGGCAGATAGGTCAGGTCTTCAAGTGTTTGTTGATGGTGAAGCTGAAGATCAATGAGACAGAGAGTCATCATCCGTCATGGATAACTACTCAGAAATCTGCTCAATGTTTGGGTTAAAGGAATTAGAGGGATGGCAGATCATACAGGATCTGAGGATCAAAAGATAGGTTTCCTTGAACCTTTTTATTTTATAAGCATAGACAATAGGGTTCATCATGGAGTTAGCATGGGACAGCAGGATGCCCAAGTATAACACAATTTGTGGTACGTCGCCATCAAAGTAGATAACACAGTTGATGATGGATAATGGCAGCCAGGACACAGCAAACAAGAAAAGAACCAGAAACAGGGACTTAGCCGTCTTGAACTCCCGTCCATAAAATGCACCTGTCTCTTTAGAGTTAGAAAAGTTCTGACTGAGTTTCTTGTGGATGATGTAGAAGATGTCAAAGTAGATGACACACATGACAACCAGGGGGATTAAAATCCAGACGAAGAAGCTGAAGTAGACCATGTAGTCCATTTTGATGACGGAACGGAATTGGCAGGAGAGGGAGGTGACACTTCTGTTGTATCCTGGGGTCAGTTTCACATTCCAGCCAAACATGGGTGTCAATCCCACCAGGAATGACACCAACCAGCAAAAGCCCAAGGCCAGCCATATTCTTCTCTGAGTGGTGACCCTTTTGTATCTGTTTGAATGAAAAAAGGCAGTGAGTTCGCAGCAGGAATTGCTACAGGGTGGGGGGAGATGGCACTGTTAAAGGAGAGAGAGAGGGTGAGCCAAAGCCTCCACTCTCTCAATTCCCCAGTCTTCTGTTAAGAGAGGAGAGCATTGATAGTCTATGGTGATTTGAGCTAAACTCTACCGGATATGAAGATAGGATGGGCAGACCATGATTAGAGAAAAACTCAGCCAACTCCTCTGGGGAATCATCTAAAAAAGAACAATCTAGGAAGGATGAGGAATGTATTGCTTAAAGTTATTTCCATTTCTAGTGTGAGAATTCTTCAGCTCCTGGGAGGTAAGATTTATCTATGTCTCTGGAGATCACATACCTGGTGTGAAATGATCTAATGATCTTAAAGCATGCTTGCCTGCCACACCCTGCACTGTTTTGTCTGGCTGTTGTACAGATGCTCATAATTTATGCTATGTCTGTCCACACTTCCTCTCTACCTGCCCTGCCCCTGCTTCTCTGTTTGCGTGGGCATCCATTCTTGGTGTTTGAGCTCAGTGAATCAGTGGAGTTGTATAGGTTATGTTGAAGTACTTCAGAGACCTTAAAAGACTCAACCAGTAAAAGTCACCATTTCTGCTTACACCATCCTTCCCGACAGCAACCTACACAGACTGCAAGAAGGAGACAAATATTGTGAAATACCGACAGGAGATTCTATTTACACAGGAGATTCTATGTCAGTTAAATCTCACAACAAACAAGATATTTTTTTGATGATCTCCATTTTACTGATGGCAATCGTGAAAATAATAGGAATGGTAGCTACTATTTATGGACTATAGGCTGTGTGGTATTTTTCTAAGAACTTTACGTATGTTAACTCATTTAATCCTATGATGAAAGTGCAAATTATTATCCCCATTTTATAGTTAAAAAATTGAACCACGGACAAGTACCTTATACAAGCTAGAAGAGGTGGGACTAAAACTGAAAAAAGGTCGGTCTGAATTGAGAGCATCTTAACTACTGGGATATAGATGAAGAAACTGAAGGAGAAAAAGTGAAATAGATTGGCCAAGATCAGATCTCAAGATCCAGTCTTTGAACACCGGCTTGTTTACATTGTTTACTTGTTTGTAACCCCCTCGCTGTGCTCTTTCCTCAAGACAAGAGAGGCGAAACATGAGGCCAGTGCGACTTAGGACAACTGGGGGATTAGATTTCTCAATCTGGCAGTCTGCTGTCTTCACGTACCCACACAGAAGCTTGGAACTACCATGGGCAGTGAAGAACATTTTGGGGGGAAAAAAGGTTTCATTGCAGGGGGAGGAGTAGCAGGAGGGGAAAGAGGAAGAAAAGGAGGAGAAATAGATACATTCTAAGAACCCCTTTCTCAAGCTTGAGGTGGGCACAGAATCGAAAGCAGAAAGATGAAATAATAACCTACATTGGCAAAGAAAAGAACCTTCAGTTTGTCTTCCCTCATTCTTATCTGCCTGCTTCTCCTAAAATAAGAAATGTTATCTGGTAGGGTTCTACCATTTCTAAAACTTAAGAGCATTTTTTACTAATTAGAGATCTCATCAGCTTCAGCTTCCCTGAGGACTGAGCATCTGCCCGTAGCCATTGGAGAAGGGACTGGAGCATTCCGGGTTCCAGTCCCCCAGTCTCAGCTCATCATTCATCGCTCAACCCTTCATAGACATTTATTGCCCTATTTCAACCTCGAGGACCAATGTGCATTCATTATCACTCAAAAGGTCTGGGATCTAAACTTTGTAGACTCATTTCACAGGCACCTCTAGAACTGCCCCCGCCCCATATCCCGCAGGCTACCTGACAGTAAGCTTGACCCGCAAGTACCGGTCCACAGCGATGGCCAGCAAGGACATGATGGAGGCGTGGGTAAAGATCAGCAGCAGGCAGGTCATGAAAAGGCAACTGTAGAAGTGGACTGTGATGCCCAGGCTGACGACAATGGCCAAAGGCATGACTAGCACCCCTACAGCAATGTCAGCCAGGGCAAGGGAGACAATGAAATAGAAGGTGGTGGTCTGCAGGCTGGGGTTCAGCTTGACCACCCAGATGACCAGCACATTGCCCGCTATGGCGCACAGCCCAATGACAACCTCCACAGTGATGTAGGTAAAGCTGGCCAACGACAGGGCAGTGCTGTTGATGGGCATCTTGCCTTCCCAGAGGAGTCCCCACGGGGACAGGTGAGCCAGCAGGATCTGCAATGGCCAGTGGGCCTAGATCTTCCCAGATATCTTCCCAGAGGTCCATGGGTAGCAACACTCTAAAATTCACACCTCACTCACTCCTCTTCTCCGGTGGGTGATCCATCCCTAGATAGGGCCCTTCGCAGGGTGATCTCTTCTGGCTCCTCTGCCAGCCACACGTCCCCGGGCTCCTGGAGGCCTGCAGGATAGTTCTCTGTGGGCTGAATGTGAAAGTCCTGCTACTCTAAGTTCCCCAGACAGACACTCTCAAGGCCTCTGCCTTCCCCTGCCCCCAGAGGGCTTTCTGAGTTCCATCAAGATAACCAACCCTCTTTAGCGGTGTTTCAGGAAGTGAGATGTGCCAAGAGGAAGTACAGAGCACGGAACTCTCAGCAAAAAGATGGAAAGAGCCGGGGAGGAGGTGGGAGTGGCAGAGAGAATGGTCAAAACAAGATTAGGTGACAGAATTCATTCATTCAGGAACCAATGAGGATACAGGACTGGAGGGGAGAGAAGCTAAGAGTGCCAACTATGCAATATTCTTGCCTTTGGCTGGGTTAGCAGCAAGGCCCCATATAAGGAGGCAGACAGGAGAAGCAGAGAAACAAGAAATAGATTTTGGTGGCAGCTTCCTAATCTTAGCCAGCACTTATTCCTTCTAAGTGCATAACAGCAAGCACCGAGAATTCAGCTGCGTGAGTCGACTCTTCGCTGAGCACAGCTGGCACCCAGCCTTTGCCACAAAAATCCTTTGTCAAAGGGACAAGCAAAGAGTCTCTGCTCAAAAGAGCAAAACCTCAGCACATCTGCTGAGCATCAGTCTCTCCACCCACACCCCTAGCAAAATCTCTCGTGCTCTCACACTAGCATCTGCCTGTGTCAAAGCTATTTGAGGAACAACAGGACAGCAGGATGACCAGATGCACGGAATGAAGGGAAAAGGCAGCGTGTGCACAGAGTCTCACAGCGTGTCCTGCCTCCCCCAATCCCAAGCCTCAGCAGCACCGTGCGTCTGTCTGGGAATCAGACCCTTTTCCCTGAAGCTGCTCACCTGGTCACCAGCTTCTGGGAACCAGACGCTTGAGCACAGCTGTTATTTAGGGAGCCCACCTGCTTCAGGTGCTTCTCATCACTGTGCGAAGGGGTTATGTGGACGTAAGCCTGCATAATGAATTGAAAGCACCTATATATATGTACAGTCAAAAATAAAAATAGTGTGGTGGTGTCTAGCAACAAACACTTGTCAGTGGGGCGTTAGGGAGATGCCCTGGACAGGGCCTGGCCCTCTTCCTTGTTGTTCTGATTCTGCACCCTGTGATTCACTGCTATCTCCCAACTCGATCCAAGTCTGACCTATGGGCCATACTTGTCCCTGCCAGACTTTGTCATCTCTCCCTGAGCAAACTCCCCAGACCAGACACTAAGGGGCAGTCCTTTCCAACTGCACTGCCATCATTCTGGCATTTTCCAAAATCAGCTCTGCCTACATCTCTGCAATGCTGAACCTGAACCACTTCAACAATCTCCATTGAACGTGGCCTCCCATAAAAATTTCTACTACAACTGCTTTCCTTATCTCTGCTTCAGAGGAGGAAGTTGTCAAGAGCAATTTCTAAAAGACCGCATATACTACAAAAAGCTGGTTCTCACGATAAAGCAATCTTTGACTCTTGGAAAGTCACTGTAAAAAGATTCTCCCTCCCTCCTGTCTGGTGCGTAGGTTAGTTCTTTAGGAATCAGCCCATCTCAGCTGGGTTAGAGAAACCAAGGAAACAGAGTTTGTGTCCACACATAGCATTTTACAGACAAGATAACACATAGAATAATCCCCTGGAGAGAAGGGTGGCAGGGGACACACATGGGGCCAACCAAGCCACCTCTGCCCACTTGGGAATTCCAATTCCAGAATTCTCTGTACATATCATATCATGGGGGGCTATTTTCTGTGAACAAGGGAAACCCTTCCTTTGGGTTTTCTGAATGGACAGTCTATCACTGCTCAGGGAGGGTGATTTGAGAAGAGAGGGGAAAGACTTTCATATTCACTTAATGTTTTGGCCTAGGACTGGGTCCTGAGAGTCCTTTTTACTTGAGATTGAAAACCAAAAGGCAACATGGGAAAGAGGACAGTGGGACTGGGCAGAAGGTCCCCTCATCTGCCCATTCCTCCACCTGTGCCCACTGTCCACTGCCACTCTCAGATGACTCACTTCATCCCATCATCTCTCAAGGAGGAGATTCTGCAGCCTCCCAACCCCTGCCCTGAAGCAACCAGAAAGGTCATGTTGAAACACAACCGCCAGGAGCACCCCTCCCCCTGCTTAAAAACCATTTACTCTCCTGTGGCCTCAAGATCAAGTCCAGACTCCTTAGAGTGGCTTACACCCTCCGTGATGGGGTCTCCCAGTCTCTCAGCCTCCTGCCACCTAGATGCCCTACAGAAACTATAAGCTCTACCATGCCAAGCCCCTCGCGGCTCAGAAGCCACTCTCTTTCACTTCCTCTTCCCTGTGCACATGCTCTTTGCCTGGCGTAGAGGGCGCTTCTCCCCTAAGTCCACCTAGAATACACTTTTACTTTTTTTCAGACAGTCTCACTACGTCACCCTGGGTAGAGTGTCTGGCATCACAGCTCACAGCAACCTCAAACTCCTGGGCTTAAGCGATTCTTTTGCTTCAGCCTCCCAAGTAACTGGGACCACAGGTGCCCACCACAATAACTGACTTTTCTTTTTTTTTTTTTGGAGTTATCATTGTTGTTTAGCAAGCCCAGGCCAGGCTTGAACCTGCCAGCCTCAGGGTATGTGGTTGGTGCCCTTACTCACTGAGCTACGAGCACTGAGCCTAGAATACACTTGTTCTTCAAGATTGTACTCCAATGGGACCTTGAAGATAAATTCCCAGACTTCACCTCTCTGTCCACACCCCTGCCCTGTTACTCCATAAGTTCCCAGAGGGCCGGGACCACAACTTTCCATTTCTGCATTTCCAGCCCTTATCACTACGCCTAGAGGTCATAGGTGCTCGCTATATTTGTGATAAATGTATGAACAGGAAAGCACCTCAGTGAACTACATTGTGTACCCTTAGCTTGAGTATATAATAATAACAAGAAGTCAGCTAGGACCTGCTTAGCACTTAGTGTTTTATATTCACCGTCCCATTCAATGCTCTCTGATAAAATAGATACTCTCATTAATGCTGAGCAATCTGAAGCTCTGGAGGGTTAAAGAGCTTGCCCAAGCTTGCACAGCTAGGAGGTGGCAGAGCAGACATTCAAACCCAGGCTCCTGCTGCAGAGCCCAGGTTCTGAACAACAGCCTTCGGTAAGCAAATGAACAACCACACAAAGCTTTCACAAGTTCAAGGAGTCCCTCAGTTTCATGTTGCCATGTTATCAGTATCAGTGGGAGGTGAATATATTCTCAGATCTGGAAAAGAAAGTGGCCACCAAGACTGTGGGGACAAAGAACAAGTATAATGTAGATTCAGCGACTGCTCTGAGTTAGGAAGAGGTGGCAGAACCAGAGACATCTTTGCATGATTAGGTGCTGGTGGGACTGGGGTCCTAAGAGCAGCTCTGGACCAGAAAGAAAACTATTCATTGGATCAGAGTGCCAAAAAATTTTTTGTAAATAAATAAATTATAAGTGAACCGTGGTTTAGATTTTTCCACCTAAAAAAAAGGGCCATGGCTGTTTTCAGTCCTACTCAAAGAACCTGAACTTCGGCAGGGAGGCCAGAATCTGGGAGGAACCATTGGCCTGAATCACAGGAAAAGTGACTGGAGTCCTGGAGAAAGGCCTCACGTGTCCTGGACCTTGGCCTAGTGCCTACTTGGGCCTGTTGCAACTGAGCACAGTTCAGCCACAAGGCTGCAGCCTCCTGAGAGGCTAGGGGATATAAGAGAACTGAGCACTGAGAGAGGATTCATCTGATGCTTTGAAGTTTTTTCAGAAAAGCCTAGAAAACTGTAGGTGCTCCTCCAATAATAGCAAGAAGCAGTGTTAGCAGGAGCCCAGGGCAAGGACCGCTGGAGCTCTAGAACTGGTCCAGGAGGCAGCGAAGACAGGATGTCAGGCAGGCAGAAAGTGGCGGCTTCTGCCCAGGGCTCCCTCACTGACTCCACTGTGTCTGCAGAGTTGCACAAAATCAGTTTGCTCACTTCCTCTTGGCCTCATTGCCACTTCCCCAAAGTCTTAGATTTTTATAGAGCTTTATGTTTGCTAGCTGAGAGCCGAGGCTTAGAAAAAACAGTGCTGGCCCAGCGCCTATAGCTCAACCGGCTAAGGCGCCAGCCACGTACACCTAAGGTGGCGGGTTCGAATCCCCAGCCCGGACCCGCCAAAAACAACAATGATGGCTGCAACCAAAAAATAGCCGGGCGATGTGGCAGGCGCCTGTGGTCCCAGCTACTTGGGAGGCAGAGGCAGGAGACTCGCTTGAGCCCAGGAGTTGGAGGTTGCTGTGAGCTGTGATGCCACGGCACTCTACCCAGGGGGACAGCTTGAGGCTCTGTCTCAAAAAAAAAAAAAAAGAAAAGAAAAGAAAAGAAAAAAACAGTGCTCAGAGACACCCCTGAGGGTGCTTGGGTTTCTTTTACATCCCCTGCCTGTCTCACCATCTTTAACCGCCTCTCAGTCAAGCCAGAGGGAAGAGATGAGGTTCCCCCAGGGGGTCATCTGGAGCCCTTGTCTCCTGGACCTTCTTCCCAGGGCCCAGCCACATAGGCCACTCCAGCTGTGGTGCCCAGGCACACAATGAGTGGCCACTTGCCATTGTCTACTCTGAGCATGTGGAGATTCACTTAGTGCCAGTGTGAAGGGAAGGGAGAGGTGAGGCCTGGAAAGTGAGGTCAAGGTTCCTTCACTCTGAGTAACAGGAAATCCTGCCCAGGGAAGAGGAACTGTGCTGGCTGCCCAGTCCCACTACCAGACCCCCCACCCACACCCACTGTCAGGACTC